GCTGGGTTCCTCCGAGTTTTTTTTTCCCGTTGCACAGCTTCTGGTATTCTCAAGCGTTACTTCGATTTAAACTTTAATTTACTGAGTCGTCGTCTTGTATATTGGTATCATTTAGCCTACTGAGCCTAATTCTTGTGTTAACATTTTTTCGGCTATTAGAAAACCGCAATTTTAACTGTTCGCGCACACGACGAACGCTTGCACTGAAGCTGAATTTGAAATCCTTAGCTCGGATACAAGGACACGGAATATCTTTATGAAATTTCAGCTTACTGTCTTGTCTGGTCCGTCAAATCCTTTTCGTGCCAAAAGACTTATATAAATTTTTAATCGTCCGTACGTAATTTTCATCGGCTGATAATACAATTAGCATGTTTCTTGTACCTCAGTTTTTATTAATAATCTCAGTAATTTTTTTAAATTGTCAGCGCATGTGTTAGGCAGTTTCACAGTTGCTTCTTTTTCTTTTTTTTTTTTTACTTCTGTGGAATTCTTAACAGTTCTTTATGTACCAAGAAAGGTTTTTTCAACTCGCTGCAAAACATAAACGTCTTATTCCTCTTTTGCCAGGCATAGTAGCCTAGGCCTCGTTTGAGCATTTGAAAACGCTTCGTTTTTCATTCTCATAAGAACGGTGGAATGAATAAGTTATGATGTGAATAAACTCAAATTTGTTTTTGCAGTTTAACTTCATATTTGTTACAAAGAACACAATTTATGATGTGTTTTATGATTTTTAGGATCTCAAGAATTACTTGGAAGATGAAATGATACCATCTATACCTTCGCTCAACAAATTTCTTCAAGTAAATTTCTGGAATTTTGCGTCTTCCTGTGTTTTTTTATCATAATTCTTCATTGTTTTTTTATTTGGTTTCTTTTCTCTCGTTTTCAGCGAAACGTGTTCGTTGCTGTTTTTTAAATACAGGAGAATGAAGAGACGCTCGAATACTATTTGCATATAGCAACTCAGAAATTCATCTTCCTGCTTGATCCGATGCGCCAGAATAAAATTCGTATAATTGATATTGTGGCAAGTCGATTGCTCGAAGAAATGCAAGCCTTAAATGAGGAGACAGCAAACACAACAACCGATGGTGGCACTGCCGAATCGGAGGAAAACGAGCAGGAAACGTCAAAAAGTGGTGAAACGTTAAATTGGTAAGTGATTGTTTCATTTTGAGCAGTCCAAACTCAGCGTTTGAGACCCGAAAATACTTGAAGCAAAGAAGGATGTGCTATTTTTTATACGTTTTTTGCTCAGAAATTGATGTTACCAAAATCCGTATATGTAGTGCCTGTAGAAATCGGATACGGAGAATTCTGATTAGCATTTCATTTGAAGGAAGGAATTTCCTATGATTCAAAAAATACGAAGTTTTCGTGAGTTTCAGGTTCTCGAAAGAGAATTGTCTACGGATAAAGGAAATGTATTTCCAGCTTGATTCTGATTTCAACGGGTTGCTGTCTTTGTCAGAAATGACTGATTTTCAGAAAGTTTCGAATTTTTTTATACAAAGGTTTGTTAAACTTTTGCCTGCTGTGCTTATGCCTGGCACCAGAAATTATCAGCGTAGACTGAGATTCAAGTGCTAAACGTTTAATATTGTAATTTGCATGATTTAGTTTCTGGTGTACTAATTGCACCTTTTTAAGTTTCTGAATACGCCTTTTCTAGAAATCGCAACATTTTCTATTGCCACCTCGTCAGTGTTGAGCTTCAAGCCCCATCAATCATAGTATTTCCCAGGAAATCATTCTTGTTCTGAATATACCTGGACAGTTGGTGTGGGTATCTCGTTTTGATGATGATGTTACTTTGTATGTATCTGAGCTAAATTACTGGGGCAACATAACCTTCGAAAATGTGTGGATTCAAAAAAACTGATAACACTGATTAAACTTAAAATGAGTTTTTGCTTTGATTTAACGAAATGCTGCAGAGTTTTCGAAGTTCAACAAACCTATGATAACGATGAACTGGACTTGAGAGGATTTTG